TTGTTTGGATTTCGCGGTAGCAATAATAATGCACTCAACTGTGTTCTGATTGTTGTAAGACAAGAAATATTTTTAGCTAAATTACGAAATCAACTACCACCATTTGCTATAATTTTATCAGCTGTAAAAGGTTATTATGAAATGAAAAAATATATATACCACACAAATCTCAGAGAGAATGCATTGAAAAAGAAATGGTTTCACTTTAGAAAATATTTTGAGAGTGTTGGAAATGTGCTAACATAAACATGAACATGTATTTTATGTTTGGTATTTTTTATTATATATTTAAAGTCTAATTTTGTCATGAACGTTTGTTTTTATCTGCCACAAAAGATTTCGGCCGTGATGATTATTATCTGTGTCAAGCCATTATGTATGGAAATTATTTCTTTAATTATTTGTATATGATATTTAGATAAACTGTATATGATGGAATTTGTTTTGAAAATAAAGAACCCTGTGGAAGTGGAGGGAAAAAAAATTGATACCTTATTTGTGACACTGGCAGGTCACGAATTGACGTGGGGTCCAGGGCGCTGAGCCCACGGAGGCTCAAGGGTGTTAGATAATAGATTCCGTTCAAATGAGCATCCAGGGGCTCGCCTTAGAGCCATTGGTTGGGTTCAGGGGCAGAGCCCCGGAAGCTCAGGGCTTTAGGCATTTAATTACATCAGATGAGCATTATAATACCTGACGATCTGGTCGAAAAGAACATTGACTCCCTTAGGAAGAGTTACCATAATAAAATCCCTATTTATATCCAAATTGAACTACCTATTTTTATCTCTTCCTGAACCATAATTAGAAATTATAAAGGATATCGATCGACGTTTTTTCGAATTTATATGGCATGACAAACGTCATAAAATAAGTAGGAAACAAATGGGTCAATTGTACAATGAAGGTGGCGTTAAAGTGACTGACCTTTGTATGCATTCTAAATCACTTAAGATATTATGGATAAGAAGAAGATTTATTTGTTCTGAAAGTTTCACTCTTCATATGTTCCAATCATTCTGACCTCCATCGTATACATCTCTTCAGTTATTCATGGGGGCTGAATATTACAAAGAATTAGCCACTACAATACGAAACCCATTTTGGGAAGAAGTATTATCAGCCTTTTCAGACCTTACTTAATTCACTGTAAATGATATTGCATGTCAACCCCTTTGGAATAGCCCTAAAATAAAAGTTAATGATAACGAAATTTATTATAAGTCTTGGTGCGCTTAGGGGGTACGTTTTGTTAACGATGTTTTAAAAACAGATGGATCATTTCTCTCATATTTTGATTTTCAACGTCAATACAATGTACATGTACACTTTCTTCAATATTTTGGCTTTTGTCATGCTATTCGATTTGGTTTTGATAAAAATGTCATACCAAAGGTCATTGAACCTACATGTATCATTCCGAAAGCATTGTTATTAATAATAAAAGTGAAAAAAAGGTTGTGCACATATATATACCGTTCTTTATTGAAGCATAAGATAAAGAAATGTAAAAGTCTTACTAAGTGAAAACAGGAGTTTGACCTTGTCAATATTGTATGGAGTTCGTATTATCTTCTTCCCTTTAATTCAATTGTCGATGTTAACATGAGGTGGTTTCAGTTCAAGTTATAGAATTCTTTATATGAAAGATGCTTTGTTAAGATTTAAATTAGTTACAGATAACTTATGTAAATTCTGTAATACCAGTGTAGAAACATTGTTTGCATATATTTTGTTACTGTATTCATAAAACCGAAATATGGTCGAAACTTGAGTATTGGTTGTCCCGTAATAATGTACTTATTGGCCCGAATTCACAAAGGAGGTTTGTCGACAAACCTTGGTTTTCGTACGTCATATGACGCGTTTTACGCGTTTTTTACAAACCTGGTTTGTAAAGAACAAAAGGAGGTTTGGCGAAACAAAAGGAGGTTTGAGCTCAAACCTTGGTCTGAGCTCAAACCTCGATTTGTGAATTCGGGCCATTAAGTTTAGAAATCAAAATAAGTTGTTTGGGTTTCACGGTAATAATAACAGTGCCCTCAACTGTATTTTGATTATAGTCAGGAAAGAAATTTTTGCAGCCAAATGCAAAAAATGTTTGCCAGTTTTTGAAAACATAATATCAGCGATAAAGTGTTATTATAACATGGAAAAGTATATATGTAACACTAATCTGAAAGAACAGAAATTTGTGAAAAAGTGGTTACTTTTTTAAAAAGTGTTTCTGATTGTTTATTTCTTCTAAAATCATTTTGCCAACCAAATTCTAAAACTATTTTAAAAAAGTGAACTTTAATTTGTAACTGATATCTATAAATGTATTTTCTTATCATATTTTGAATGGCCAGGAATATTATTTTGAATTTCTGCATGTAAAAATCAATTCTTGCACACATAATAATATTATTTAATAAAGGTTCCTTGTGAAAGGGGAAAAAAGAAAGAAAAAAATATATGCACAACTGAAAAAAGAAAATAATAATAATAATGATACCTTATTTGTGACACTGGCAGGTCACTAATTGGCGTGGGGTTCAGGGGCTCAGGGGTTTTAGGCATTCAAAATACGTCAGATGAGCATCCAGGTGCCCTGAATTTGGGCCGTAGGTGAAATCCAGGGGGCAGATCCCCCGGGAGCTCAGGGGTTTTAAGTCATTTAATCACGGTCAGATGAGCAAAAAAAATTCTTCCCTTTTTCGCCCCGGAAATTGGAAAATTACGTCGTCAGATATTTTGTTTAGTGGCTTGGAGAGGGGGGGGGGGAGGAACAATTATTTTTTTTTTTTTTTTACTTTCTTTAAAACAAAAAACAAAAATTAAAAAATCTTTCCCCCTTTTTTTTCTTCCTTCTTTTTTTTTTTGCCAGGGGGGGGGGGGGGCTCGCCCCCCCCCCCTTCCCATGGATCCGCCACTGGATGCAAGTACTGTATATTCGGTGCAAACTTTAATATTAACCTCGGGAGCGGATAAGGCGATAAAAAGGTTAAATATTTATCAAAAAAGTATTACTTCATTGAATTACTTTTAAACTGAATCCACTATATAGTCTGTAAAATACTCTTCCCTGCCTGTCGCGGACAAAATGGCAATTTCTTAATGTAATTTGTCACGATTCAAATGCATTTAAGAGGTTTAAATATTAAAGTAAATAGAACCAAAATTAATAGGCCTTGTTTTTTTTTAGATATTAAATCATAGGTCATAGATTACCTCTTCAAGTAAGATAAAACTGCCTCAAGATTTAAAGTAAACATTATTTCTTAGTCGGGGAATTTATGGGGAGGACATGATTCTTACTGCCTTACATTGGTATGTCTTAACAGATTTTTATCATTCCAGATAATAGCAAAGTAACTACTTCATATATCATGGAGTGCATGTAAAGTGGTTTTAAAGGTAAATCTCTTTACACCCATGATAATGGGAACTGGTCTAAACTGGTTTAAACCCTTGCCCTGTTTTCAGAATGCAAGCCGATCATTATGCGCACTATTGTGGAGGTATCGTGGTATAGTGGTCCATTTACTTGACTCTTAGTCCAAGGTGTGATGGTTCGAATCTCAGCCCGTCACTAACGTACTTTGGCAAGACATCAATCCACATTTACCACTCTCCACCTAGGTGTAATTGGTACCTGGTAACTGCTGGAGTAATAATAATTTTGTCCCGCTCAAGTAGAGCAGTATTCATACATATATGGCTATATTTGGTAAAGAAGGAAGCATCATTATTGTATATTATCATTGCTTTATATGGGAGGGCGATCAATCCTGATTATTTTTCTTTCTAAAGTATTTGAAGTCTTAACTCCATATCTGATTATGTGATTGTTCAATCCAATCGACTGTTATGTTCAATATTGAACCTGATTTATTTTAACAAAATATACCTTGTAATGTAATTTTTTTTTTAATTTTCCTATGTAGCCTGGTCGTTACACAGTAGTTTTATTTATTCATTATTTAATCTAATTATTAATTCATTTATAAATAACTATATTTCAATAACTTTTTTCATCTCCTCTTTCTTATCATAGAAAAGATATTGCAAATGAAATTTCACGAATTCTATCTTGATGTTTTTCACCGATCAAAATGAGATCGCATCCTATGCAATAATATTTAATAGCTTAAATAGATTTATGCAGAACTAGGTTATTAGTTTACCGAAAAAGGGTATTTAATTAAGAAAAATTGTAACGTTGAAAGGTCTTTGGAAGCGCATAGAGATGTTATTTTATAACGTATTATGCGCTATACAAAAACTGAACTATTATTATTATTATTATTATATGTGTGTAATAATATAGGTTCGGGAAAACGTCACTGATCTAAGATATATTATAAGTACTTATTTATTTTTGTCTCTCCCACTTTCTCTCTCTCAGACGATGTTTACATCAGCATCTGAGCGTCTCTACCTTGCCAGCAAGCAGCACGTCTACTGGAAGCACATCAAGATTCTGGTACCTAACACCTGGTCCATCCAGATCGGGTATCAATTTGCTCGAACCGAAACGCTGGAGTCGGCCAACATTGTCGTGCACAACTCTCTTGATGACGAGCCGTTTGTCGATAACTTTGAAGGATGTGGGAAAGAAGGAAAGTGGATGCACATGACACCGGACTATATTCTAAACGAGATGTACCGAGAAGACAAGTTTGGTTCCACAGGTGGGTTACTATCGATGCAAATGAAAATATGATATTAATGGTATGAATAGTAATGTATGTAAGTAAAGAGAGAGGAAAAGAAGAAGGAAAAGAGAAGAAGAAAAAAGAAAATAAGAGAAATAGGAATAAGGAAAAAGGAAAAGAAGAGAAATAGGAAGAAGAAGAAAAATAAGAAGAATTTAACCCACCAACTACAATTACTAAAATATTTGGTCAGATCTCGTTAACAGAGCGAGACATGAACATGTTTTGACATAACTTTTAATGAGTCTCTTTTTCTTTGTTTTCATTTTTTAAATTTTAAACAGACAACATGTTAGTTCGAAGTTGGGGCTATCTACGTTGGGGGTTATTCAAGGAGCACTATGATGGTGTTGGAGGTGGCGCCCCTGCCTATGACTCAACCGGTGGTGGTACTGAAGGGACCCGCTGTTCTCTTAAGATCAAGGGAAACCTTTTAATGCCTGATAGTTCTCCATGCCAAAGTCATCCTAACTCTGGTCCTGATTCCGATTGCCGCTTCGTTCCTGATACTAGTGGACAAACTGCGACCGCTTCACTGTTATTTGGAACCAAGGATGCTCATATACATTCGGTAAGTCTGGCATCGTAATTAAGTAGTAGATGTTTTAGAAGGGGATTAGGGCTCAAGCCCCACCTCCCCCCCCCCCCCCCCATCCTTCCCCCCCCCCCCCCCAAAAAAAAAGATTAGATATAGTCTCCCCTTCCCATTTGTATTGATTATACATTTATTTTAGCAAAGCACATGTAACAAATGCAAGAACACAAGCCCACAAAAGCCACACCCCTTCGAAATAAAAGAGAGAGAGAAAAAAAGATCTTCTAGAAACGTGCATGGAATGAAAGGGTTGCTTCATTTTCGACGTTAATTCATAATTCCAGAAGGGACGGTGACGGTAACCCAGTTAGGAATTGCCTTGTCGTTACGATGCCTCCATATTTATAGTAGAAAAAAGCTTTCAACAAATACACTAGGTAAAAATTGTGTTTTAGCTCCTCGTACTACTGTACTCGATTAAACCAATCTTCACTTATGTGCCAAGATAAACGTTTGCGAAGGTAATAAAATGCTAACTCTTTTTTTAATATCGCTGAAAAACTTTCAATACTTCAATCAATGTTCTCAATATTCTAGAATCTAATTGAGTGATTTAATCCATATTTCAGATAGAGGAGTTTTGTAGCGACGATCGATCAGATCCAAATAACTTACACAATCCAGAAGCACCAAACTTGATGAATATTAAATGCAGTGGTGACAGTGCTTGGAAGGTAATGACAGAGCGAACAACAGACTTCACAGCAGGTATCCAACCTGTCTCAAACACTACTCCTACATTCGATGTCATCCAGCTATCTACAATCAGAAGTGTAGTACTTGTGCTTGACATCAGTGGTAGTATGAGGGTAAGTTAGGGATTGTCATATTGGTCAGGACAGTGCGAATTTAGCCATTGCTTAATTTAGGCCCAATGCCTTTGGTTTCATATCTTATTTTAGGATAGGATTGGGTTATTAAAATATAGATATTCTACTACTTTACGGTCCTTGTGACAAATCTATGTGTGAGAACGACTTTGCCTCTCAACAACCATGCTTACATCACTACATTGTCGAGTTTTTATTGTATAGAGACATTGTGTCGCCAACTTTCACAATTTGATGTGGTCGACTTTATTCAGTATCATTGCCTTGAACAAACAAATATGTAATTTCAAAATATTTTCAAACATTGCAGCGACAACATCTTCATTATTTTATGTATTGGAATTTATTATTAAAGGTAATACAAAGTTTTGTGAAATTTTGAAAATTTGGTGGATAGTGATTCTTTAAAATTTTGATATATTTGGACGCCCCTGTGGATGTATTATAAGCACTAACAATTTTAGCCCCTAACACACTTCTACTTTCGAGAAAAATCGAATATAAATATATACAAATAAATTTCAAATAGCGCCTACGGCCGTACAATGGTAGCTGCGACCATGAAAATCTCAGAATATGTAGTTGTGATACATAATTTCCAAACGGGAATAGCTAATCGGTCGATTATAGTCAAGAAACATTGTTTAATAGCTTAATTAATATCTTGACCTTGAGAAGGAGCTATACAACAAAGAGTTTATTACACTGTAGCTCATAAAGGTGGAATATTTTAGTTTTACCCCAATTTATGGAATTATTTTAAAAATTATTTTAAAATAATAGATATAGATAATAGTATATATTCTCAGATTTTATTGAATAATAACTTGCCAATGTGTGTTTTGCGGAACTGCTAAAGCATGTGTATGCTACTATGCTTATTAACTAGGGGACCTACGCTCTCAAATCATAAATGACAGTAATGAGGATTAATGCCCCACAAAAGGGCACTAATAAAGCACATCGACACGGTTTTCATCCTGGGGCCTCACAGTTACGAGGCCATTGTTTTGTCACTGAACCATGACTTTACGCAGCGGGGGCTAGAGTTAGGGGGCAGTTTCCATAAATTTAAAAAAAAAACAGAAAATGCAATAATTTTTCAATAATTTATTGCATTTTACCCCGGTCCCCAACATAAAAAAAATCCTCTGGACGGCCATCCATTATGGCTCAAGGCATGGGCACACAGAATTTTTGTTTATGTTAGGCACCGGGGTTAAATGCAATAAATTATTGAAAATTTATTGCATTTTCTTTTCTTTTTTTTAATTTATGGAAACTGCCTCCTACCCTAGCCCCCGCTGCGTACAGTCATGGTTCAGTAACAAAGCAATGGCCTCGTAACTGTTAGGCCCCAGAATGAAAACCGTGTCGATGTGCTTTATTAGTGCCCTTTTGTGGGGCATTAATCCTCATTACTGTCATTTATGACTTGAGAGCGTAGGTCCCCTAGTTAATAAGCATAGTAGCATACACATGCTTTAGCAGTTCCGCAAAACACACATTGGCAAGTTATTATTCAATAAAATCTGAGAATGTATACTATTATCTAGATCTATTATTTTTAAATTATTTTTAGAACAAAATCCATAAATTGGAATAAACTAAAATATTCCACCTTTATGAACGACAGTGTATTTACAATGTCATAACTTTAGACTCGATTGCAACCGTGACAACGATCACTGAATATTGTAAGATCGCAAATGCTTCCAATATGTTCATTTGAACCAAATTCATGACCCTATACCAAAACTTTGTAATATCTTTAAACTTTCTTTTATCCAAAACTCCATACTTTTTTAAATAAAGGTATTCAGTCCTGGTTTTATCATAGCATAGTCAATTGAATACCTTAATTTGATGTTAATGTGGTTAGAACCTGACTTAAATCAACATTTAAATGAAGATATTAAAAAAAGTGTTTACAAATCGAATACAAAAATTGATTGTTTTGTGGCGTAGTATGATTTCTGTTTAACATTGCAACAATTTGTATAAGACTTGCACATACACGTGTACTGTAGGTTTGATATTATGAATTATTTTGGCATTAAGGAAAGTGAAAGATGAAAAACAATGCTTTTATCAGAACATTTTTCATACCGTGTCACATCCTTATTTGTAGGGGAGCAGGTTTGACAGAATGATCCAATCATCTACTGACTACATCATGAATGTTATTCCAGACGGAAGCAAGCTTGGAATAGTAGTCTTCAACAGTACATCTGAAATCAGAGCGAATCTCACCGACATTACTGACGCAGCCTCGAGGCAAAGTCTTGTCAACGTCTTGCCTCCATCCGCTGGAGGCGGTACGTGTATTGGATGTGGAATACTGTCGGCCATTCAGGTACAATGTTACTCTTTCATGTCATAGATCAGTTTCTAATCTGTCAATGTTTAAAGTATATGATCGTTATAGTACCTGTGATTATGTAACTAAATGTAGTTATCGCAGTCGATTCTCATCGATCCACTTTCAACCTGAAATTTGCTCTGTTTCTCTCTGGTGTTCTGCCACAGGCAGGTCCACACTCAAGAGCCTTCTTAAGTTCATCCATCCCTCTCTATTTTTAGCCTTCTTCTTCGTATGTCAAATGATCTGTCATCTACACAGCCTGACACCATCCCGATTCTCCTCTTCCTTGTTTACCACCTATCTTTCCTTCCAAGGTGTACCTTAGCATGTTACCACTCCCCCCGTAAGATATGACCTATTCATTTTCCTCTTTCCTTCATTATTTTATATTAGAGCCTTTTGAACTTCTGAGCTTACTAGTGATGGACCCATATCATCTTGGTCTACTTGCTGTTCACTTTCCATTTGAATGGCTTCAGGTTTTGCTTCGTTATCGTAACATTCTTCTATCTGTTTTTTTTTTTAATGTCTGAGACATCAAAAAAACCTTTCTTCAGATTTGGAATATATTCCCATACAGATCTTCTTTTGTTCTCTGTTTCATTAAGTTCCATAAATTTGGCATCACAATGTCGTTTCTGCCTCTTTTCTCTCAAGCTTCAATCTCCTCACGCTGCTCTTCGAGCCACTTTTCTCTGGACTTGTCTGTTTCCCCGTGAAGTTTATTGTTGAATTATCGGTTTTTCTTCTCTTGTATTTGTCAATTTCCACCATTTCCTTCCCTCTTGTCCACCATAGCACATGTGACCCATTGCTTCTCGGGGGCTCTCGCCTCTTTAAGTAACAATAATAGTCTCCTCTGCTCTGGCTCTGATGATTTGTTTCAGCAAGGTCAAGATGGCAATAGATTCATGACTGATCGCTTCCTGTGATTTGGCGCTACTGTTGTGGTATAAGTCGCCAGTCTGAATAAGATGCTGTCCTTCGTCAATCTCTCGAGATTCCGTTTCTTTCAACTTTTCAGTATCAGTGATGCAGTAATGGCTAGGAGGTGATTGGAACTAATATCTGCTCCTAGATAGGCTCCTGAGTTCTTCGCACTTCCTCTGTATCTTTGCCTTATGAATATAATATGCAGTCAAGCTGGATTCTACATACATCTCATGGTTGCTTCCATGGGTAGAGCTGTCTTTTGTGGTGGTTAGAACATGTATTGGTTATGACAAGATGGTTTTCTACTACAGAACTTACCAATCTGAAAACTTTTTTCATTGATCCAATTAAAAAAGGACCAACTTCCTTGACACGAAATTATGTCAGGATTTACATTAAACTCGTGTTTTTTAAAGATACTTTTACATGATATAAAATATGAATCAATGAAACAGTCATGTATTATCATGTATTTTGTCTAGGTACTGGGATCATACGCACGAGGCGGATACATTTTACTCCTCAGTGATGGCATAGAGGGTGGACCTATATTTATCAGAGACACTTATGACGACATCGCGAACTCGAGTGTCATTATTGACACCATCACTATAAGCAGCTCAGCTGACCAGCAGATGGAAGATCTTTCCACCATGACTTCTGGTATCTCCAGCTTCTGTTCTGATTCGGGAACTGGGACATGTCTCATCCAGGCTTTCCAGAGCACTATAACAGAGAGACCTGGTGTCGGCGTTGGGACTGTTCCCATACAGGTATATATTTGGGCAAGGACTGCCAGTTGTTATGGAGAGGAGGGGGCCGGGGAGCAAGTGCCAACGTAGGTTAAAGGGGAAGTACACCCTGATAGTAAGTTGGTTTCAATAGAAGCAGGGCAATGAGAGGAACGGGTCAGTGAAAGTTTGAGCAAAATCCGATTAGAAATAAGAAAGTTACGAGTTTTTGAATTTGCAACTTTGTGACATGACGTATCTTGCATGCTCCCCTCCCATTTGATCTTTGTCAAAATTTAAAAATCTTTCATTTTCTTTGTTGATGAAGTGATAGATTTGTTTCATACTGGAGTTGTGTAAAAATATATATATATATGCAATAAACATATTTAGAGTGCATGTATGACTCGAAAAATTTATGGCAAAAAGAAAAATTTCTGAATTTTTAATACAGTGCAAATAAAAGGGAAACTGGCGACTTCAAAAATTTATAATTTTCTCTTTTGTTATCGGATTTTGCTCAAACCTTTACTAACCTAATCCTCTTCTGTTTCTGTTTCTATTAAAACCAACTTGATATCAGGGTTATTAATTGCATTCTCTATAGAACCCGTTGTAAATACATTCTACAAAACAAAACAAAATAAAAGAAAGGGAATAAAATGTAAACCAAAGAACAATACTGAACGTTTTTGTTTTTTATAGCCTGAAAATTATTGACATAATGTTATACCAAAATATCGTGCGTTACAAAAGCACATATGTATAAATCAGCCATAAATTGAAGAAGGGTACAGTATCATGACTGGATTCGTTCAGGATGGTAAAGAGTTTTTATGTACCCAAAATGCCCAGATACAATCGAAAGGAAAGAATCAATACTTGATAGGATTGTGTGACTAATAGTTGTCATTATTCGTTTCAAGACCGCAGTATACTATTCCTTTTGTTATTTGTTTGTATTTGTTTCTCTTGCACTCACAATTATTATTTCGTAACATGCAGGTATACATAATTATATGCTACAATAAATGAGTAGCATGTATCAGTAATTATCATATAGTTCGTCCATTTCGTTATTTGATTATTGATACACGTACGAAAGTAAAGTTTGCATCGAAAAAAAAAAATTATTCATTCAAAATGTACTACAGAAATAAAAACATGTTGATAACCTGACAAAAATTCTGACTTATCATTTAGTCCACATTCAGAATCATTGATATATTCGGAATTTTCATCAAAGATCTACAGTTCCGAGATCGTAATCGAAATATATCCTGGTCTTGAGGTCGTCCCGGTAATCATCGATTCCGCATTGGGTAACGAGACGGTGATCACTGTGATATGGACGACGAGTTCGTTGATATCGGTCGTAGTCACTGGACCAGACGGTACTCGCGTTGATGAATATGATCAACGTTATAATATTGATCCCAGCACGAAGATTGTAACGATCAACCTACCGCTAGCGCAGGTGAACTCTTTGTTCAATGTCGTTTGATTTTGGTACTCACCCGTTATTATTCGAAAATCTTATCACAATTGCAGTGAAGATGTAAGTGGAAAATTAGAGGTTTGAAGTAAAATCATATGTGATGTTTTAGGAGGACTCTGTACCGTTTGCTGTTCATTGTTTTCTTAGATTTCTTGAATATGTTATTGACCAGAATTACTTTTGGGTAACTTTGCGTCCTGTCATCTATCTGCTAGACATGGTCTATGCCAACAATGTTCAATTTGTTTCCATTATTATATTTTCGATGTTCATAAGTTCCCTTGATAATGAATTTAAGGTTGGATGTCTTAGACCATCCTTCGAAAATCGATTTTAATGTATCAATATTCATTTATAAAGCCTGGTAGATGGAATGTTACCATACACAACACCCGAGTAGCTACCGAGTACGCTAGTGTTGCAGTAACATCTAAACCAAGCACGGAGGAATACAAGCCAGTCACAGTTACTGTTCTACTAGGATCACGTGTAAGTTTACAAGGATTTGTCACAGATATATTCTTACAATAAAATGATCGAAACATTTTTCAAGAAATCAACTCATGGGCAATTTCTGTCCCCGTTTGTATTTCATACGAAATCATATTTCGGACTACGTAACTTTTCATAATGTTCGTGCAAATGTGGTCGACAGCGCTATTAAAATTGCTTTAGGTTGGTTTCTTAAAGTCTCTGCGATTGTGTTATCATAAAAACAAAAACATGTTTTATACATAAAATTACATGTTAATGAAGTCTACCCTTTCACAATTGGTAATGTTAGGATTCTACTTTTCTTTAATCCTTCCTGCAAAAAGAAATGCTCATTCTACCAACCAGTATGGAGGATTTCGATGTTGTTATTTTTACAATGAGGACATAGAACATATAAGTGAGAGAATTCCGTATATTTACTAATATCTTTATAGTGATTTGATCCCTTTGAGCTTCCTAAGCACGTTCATGTATTAACAAAAAATAATTAATCTTTTCATATTTCTTTTTAGATTTTTAATGATATCATTTTGGTTTTTATATCTTCCCAACTTAGAAAAGCCCTTTTTGGTTCATGGTATTATTTCAAGCGTTCTCCTTTTTATTCATTCAGTGATTTTTTTTTTTTTAATTTAATGATGATGATTGGTTTTACAGGAGGTGGACTTTTCTCAGACTCCGGCACTAGCTATCTATACTCAGGTTCAACAAGATTATCAACCTGTTCTCAATGCTGACGTCACAGCTATCATTTCAGACTCCTCTTCCTCCACGACCACGATGACACTGCTTGATAACGGATCAGGTGAAACCTCGTACCTCGTTATTGTGTCATTATCTCTTTGCGCTCCAAAAATAAGAATTGTGACAAAATATTAGTAAGATGATAATATGTACAATACCTTCCATTTTTTATTTGGAGCGCAAAGAGATCATAATATGATTGATAAATTAACTCACTTAACTCACTATATTTGACCCACATTCCAATCACACATTAATGCTCTTTGGAACTCATTGTGGACGAAGTGAGTACAGTTGGGAAATTGACTTGATTCCAGATATCAATTTCTTCCATTTTTGTGCTTAAAAATTTCATTTTATATACCGAGTGAGTGGAATGGTGGATTCAGAGTTAATGAAAAGAGAATTTTGTTCATTCTTTCACCCATATATTTGAAAAAACACAAAGCAAAGCTGAAATATTTGATCGTAAATGGAAGGAATTGTGCCTATTATAATGCAACTAATTTGTTTCTTCTGTTTTCTTTTTATTTTCATACTTGGAGAGGAACAAGAGATTATGATATATGGCGTACTGTAGTAGTACACTGCATTAATATATCTTTCAGTGGCAGATCGAGAGGGGAGCAGAAAACAAGCCCCTAATATTTAGTTTTTTTTAAACTGTAATTTAGTCATCTTCTTCTTATTTTTCTTCGAATTTTTCTCCTGTTTTTCTTTAACCACTTATTTCTCTTCTTTTCTTCCTGCTTCTTCTCTTTTTTTCTTTTTTCCTTCTTCTTTTTCTTCTTTTTCTTCTTGTTCTTCTCTTTTTCTTTTTCTTCTTGTTCTTCTTTTTCTTCTTTTTCTTCTTCTTCTCTATGCATCCAACAGGTTCAGACTTATTCAAAGACGATGGAACATATTCAGGGTTCTTTCTAAACTTCACTTCTGACGGCAGATATAACGTCAAGGTCAATGTCCTCGGCTACGACGGCGTAGTCGAAATCGCAGAGAAGGGAAGAAGTGAGTCGAATACTTCCAGACACTCGTGTTTTGCTCTCAATGAAAAGAAAGGCTTCATAAAGTAAAAATTAAAGATTTTAACAATACGACTTTGGGGGGGGGGGGGCAAATGAAAAGGAGACATAAAGATAATACGCTAGTGTTAAATGACTAGACCAAGGAATTCCTCACTTAACAATAACGTTTTTTTAGTAAATAGTAATTAACATTTTATTTTATTTTTTTATGAGAATGTGCCCGTTTGAGAATTGTGATTTGGGATGTCCCGATTTTCCAAACGAATGTTTCATGTTCGGATTTCTATCAATCTAGTATATCTTTGCGTAATATTCAAAGAAAATACTGTTCTCCGATTGGGTTCTTTCATATATATTAGCAAAGAAATGCATTTGATTTTCAGAGTTTGTCATCGTATCATGACTTCATGTCATTTAGAGGAAAAGGGGTATTTTTCTCTCCCCCTCTTTCTTCAATAAAATGGTATCACGAACTTATGAAAATGAACATAAATAAGGTCAAATGTTTCATTTCAAAAATCTACTCTTTGCTTACTAGGCCCATTGATAACTGCAGACAGGTTCATTTGGTTTGAGTGGCACAAGTGATGGAAAGTAATGTTGCCGTTTGAGTCGAGAGACATTATTGAAATATATGATTTTATTCATAAGAATTTGTGCGAATTAATATCCTCCCTTAAATATGTTAATCCAGGCAGACGATCGGCTCAAGTTGAGGTTGAGACCGTAACAGAGCCATCTTTCATGCGTACAGCATCGGGAGGAGTCTTCAAAGTCCAGAGCTATACTCCTAACGCTCCCGATACCCTACCACCTTCTCGTATCCAGGATCTTGTCTACACCTCTTTCTCCTATGACAACAGCACAGTGACCCTCCGCTGGACTGCTGTAGGAGATGACATGGACCAAGGAACAGGTAAACTGATCTTCACTGTCTTTATAATGTAACATGTTTTGCCCAATTCCAGTTTTAGTTATTCACATGTGAATTTAAACCATCAAATTAAAACATGACTGTTGCAAGTAAGGTGGAAAGGTGAACAGAAGAAAACATACGTTAATATCTGCTTCAGATCTAGCCGCACAGTAGCATACCCAGTGCATTTACTCTCATCTCATCTCATATCATCTTTAAAGGTACTTTCCACTTAAGTTTTTTATTGATGATACATGCTAATTTTCATTACACCTAAATTTGATCATAGTCATGTATAGAGGTGTTGTGGTTTAGTAGATAAGTCGTTGGACTGTGGATCACAGGGTTCGCGGTTCGAGTCCCGCCACGGCACTAATGCCCTTTGGCAAGATATTAATCTACATTTGCCACTCTCCACCCAGGTGTTAAATTGGTACCGGTAGGAAGGAATTCCTTGAATGCTGTGAGCGCCGAAATCGGCTGCCTAGCAGAGCCGGGGTAATAGTTGGAGCGCCTTGAGCACCATGCATGGTGGATATGTGCGCTATATAAATATCCAATATTATTATTATTATTATTATTATTTGATTATTAGCAATTTTAACTATGTTTTCCTGCATTTATTTTAATTTCTTTCCCCAAAGCCTACAGTTACGAACTCCGCTATTCCACCAACTTCTCTGAGGTACGGGACAACTTTGACAACAGTAACAGGGTCACTCAGGATCAACTGGTATATGGGAACCTATCCCATATCAATCCACCAGGAGTTATTGAGAGTGTCACTATCACACTCCCAGAGAAAGGGGAAGATATCGTCTATTACTTTGCTATTCGGGCTTGGGATGAGGCTGGGAACATAGGACAGTTGTCCAACATTGCGTCCTTGTCGATTCGTTTCATACCATTAGCTGTAACTTCCACAGTGGACCCTACCGTGCTTGCTACTGATGCATTGACAGAGATTGGTACTGTCTTAGACCAGACAGAATTGATTACCAACCTCGATACTCTAGGGACCACCGAAGCTACATCGGAAGTCACAGCTACATCGTCGGACATGTTGACTTTGAACACTGTCACGCCAGATGGTCGATCTTCTACACAGGTCCTAACGACGGAAGATGTTTTTACAACCTTACAGGGACCAAGAAATACACCAGGTGAAATTACTACGGAGAATAGGCCTACAACTACCGATGCATCTATTCCAAGAACGAGTGAGCTATTAAGTACTACAGGAGTCCTAACGTCAAACAACCCAGGAGGGCCTTTGATAACCAGCACCATCGATCCTTCCACGACAACGCTTCAACAGAATCTAGAGACCACAGAAGCCAAGGAACCTACACCATCAGAACGATCTCAAACAACGCTTCAACAGGACCCTGAGACCACAGAAGCCAAGGAACCAACTGGACAAGAAGACCAGGCCTTAATCATTGGTTTGTCTTGTGCACTAGGCGCAGTAAGCATCGTGGCAGGTGTCAGTTTAATGTACATCTACTATCTGAAGCACAGTCTCACCCAGGTGAAGCCTACCACACCGCCTAAATCAGCATGGACACAGCAGCAAGGGCTTCCTGACGTAGAGATGGTACAACAGAGTCCTACCTATGATAACCCTACTTTCTCTACAGCTTGATTTACAAGTTTTACCTGTTCTGTAGGAGGCATCGGATTGCGCAGATTATTGTACAGCTACTAAAGCAAGCATTTTTTCTTCATCTTTATAATAATAATAATAATAATTGTATATCACGCGGTAAATGGAAGTTTTCTAGAATCTATTGTTATAATCCACCTAAAGTTTATGCGTTGTGTGGTATATAAATGTTTTATCAGAATTGAAAATACTTAGTTGCACGTTAAAAAAATGTACGTTTTTCTTGATTACACTGGGTTTGAGAATGTTGCCTCGCACCTTCCTCCAAACGGGTATTACAAAATAAATTACAAAATAAAGCACACTTCTTGTATGATTAGGTAGAAAAATAATGAATATATATTCTGATACAAACTAAGCAAAATATATAATCGACTGCTAAAAATGATGAAGTAACCTAGTATATTATCTCGCTTTAGTGTTGCTTTTTTTCTTTATCATCTTCGTTTGAAATAACTATTATGGCATGGGATAAATCAACATGGTCCAATACTAGATTATCTGGTCAATGCGCGTTTGTTAGTAAATTATCTCGCTTAGTGTTTGCTTCTTTTTTCTTGGTGTCATCTTCGTGTAATATCACTATTATGACATGGAATAAATCAATATGGTCCTAAACTATATCATCTTGAATGCGCGTTTTTAAAGTAAATTATCTCGCTTTAGTGTTTGCTTCTTTTTTGTTGGTATTATCTTCGTGTAATATCACTATTATGACATGGAATAAATCAATATGGTCCTAAACTATATCATCTTGAATGCGCGTTTTTAAAGTAAATTATCTCGCTTTATTGTTTGCTTCTTTTTTGTTGGTATTATCTTCGTGTAATATCACTATTATGACATGGAATAGATCAATATGTTCCAAACCCTAGATTATCTGGTCGATGTGACAACCAATCACATTCCAAAGTTTCGAATTTCAGTTCAAGAGAATTCAATAAATGAGAAGGTGTGGTTTTGTTAATAGCTACAGAGTATCACGTACTCATCGATATCTGGTGTATAACCCTGTATACGGCATCATTGTCAATAGTAATGTTCTCAGAATAGTTTACTAGATCGATGGCGCATAATAAATGCTGTATTATTATTATTATTATAGCATATCAGAGATTGTCCACAAACCATGTTTTGTCGCCTTTTTATCAACATCTATGATAATTATTCAATACTCTTTCATTTTGTTAGTCAACTTTTCCTTCAGTTATTTCGAATTCCTTTTCTGAGACCGCCATTATGTTAAAGCTTTAGTTTAAGATGACGGTCTCCTGCACTTTTTTTTTTATTTTGAATGATTTATCAACTATGTTTGTTTTGTCAGTATAAATACTTAATTGATATATATTTTGATATGATAATATAAGTATTTTGACTTTTGTTTATGTTTTTATTATGTTGAAAATGCAGAAATACAATCCAGACAAACAAAAAGTTATATCATAATATTTATCCAGATGTTTATTTCCTAATTTAGCCATGGATATCTCTATTTCATTTTGTCACATATACTCAGAAAAGGGCTATAGTCCTGTACACTCGGTTAAATATCTTCTATGTGCACATGTAGCTTTTAGCCAATTCATTTTATAATGTGTCATATGATTTCATTTCCGAAATTTAGTCATCACGTATTACTTGTCATGAGTCACATAATAATCAGAAAAAGCTACAACGCTGTATACTCAGTTGTTTTCTATAACATGTATTTCTCGGTTTTCCCTATTCATATTTTAAAACGTGCCATAATCTAAAAGAATTAAACACTTCAATAATATTTTCTTTGTTACTATCATTGTTGTCGTTGATGTTTTTGAAGTTATTGTGATTATCATTGTTGTTGTTGATGTTGATGTTGTTGTTGTTGTGTTGGATAAAGGGGCCGATCCATGATTCTTGGAAAGAAAGGAAAGGTGAAAGTTGTCCAGGAAGTATTCTTTTACATAAATACGATTTCGGGAATCCCATCAGCCCTTCCGAAGCTCCGGTAAGGGTGTGGGGACTGCCGGCCCTTTTTTAATCTTATTTCTCTGAATAGGGGGCGCGTCTGTTTGTCTATAGTAATCAGTTGTTCGCCTATCACTTTTTTTTTTACACAAAGACCCTCATTTCATGCATTTCGAAAAGATGGGAGTTGGTCTCGTGTCTGACTGTGACAGAGCCCGGTTCGAAACTCTTATGGGTTTTTATGTTTTCTCCTGTCTCATACATTGTCAATGACTCATAATTATAATCACTTATCTTACCACAACCCTCCCTCTTCTCATTCTATCTCTCTCTCTCTCTCTCTTCTTCTTCTCTCTCTCTCTCTCTCTCTCTCTCTCTCTTCTTCTTCTTCTCTCTCTCTCTCTCTCTCTCATTTTCTCTCCTCTCTCTCTCTCTCTCTCTCTTTTTCTATTTCTCTCTCTCTCTTTCTCTCTCTCTCTTTCTATATCTGCCCATCGCATGTTGTCCTATTTGAAATGTCAAAAAACAAAAATTGGGCAATATATCAATATCAAATATACTAATATTTCCTTTATTCGAATGCACACGAGATGAAATGGAATAAGAAATGTACAATCATGCATCACTTTCTAGACTTTTCTAAAGAGCATAACAGTGGTTTGAATTTCTTGAGAATAACTTGTCATATAGGCCTACATGACTCCAGTGTAGGTGGCGTCATGTTTTCGAAGTTATTATAGCTCAATCGATACTCAAACAAGAACATAATATGGACTGTGAAGTTGTGATCGATTTAAAAAGCCGTTGCTCAACTTTATAGAATTTTCACGAAAAAAACTTGTTTGTAAGGAAAACAAAATAATACTGACAGATAGGGGGAATATAATATAATAATTAATGTTTCATTTGTTGTAGATGCAATGAATCCGACCGAATAACATGCGTTTGGACAAGAAAAGCTAATTTTGCTTTAACAGGTTTTTCAGAACTACATTTTCATTTTGGGGGGCTGGCTTTGCACATTTTTTAAGAACTTGTATGGTTGTGAGCTTTGTGCTGCAAGCTTCAAGGTCCCTATTCAGTTGTAAGAAACAGCTATTCCAACAAAATTGATAATGAAAAAACATTAATAAAGTTTCTTTAAGGTGACTAAGAGCGTCATTTCATTGCAAACTGGCCTAGGGGTCTCAGTCAAATCATACTGTAAGCATGTGTGACCAATAAAACTCGTATAAAGGGATTTTTTTTTTTATAGATTGGACGCGATCCGCGCGGTGTCGGGTTAAGGGGTTAAAAATGTCAATTTTCAAGAAAAAGGGTACTTTTTCAAAATCCTGCTGCTGTGTTTTTGTTTATCTTGACTCCGAATTGAAAGCTTGCACGCATGTTATAATTGAAATAAATTTTGCATTATTAATTTAAAATCGGAAGCGCAATTTGATTTATTGAACATCGTCAACAACTTAAATTGTAATCCCTATCGCACTTCAAAATGCTCAAGCGGTTATAATTTTACAGTATTTGCTTAGGAGTTCACCGTTGTGAAATACCCGTTTATAGGGTGTGAATTCGGGGGATAAACACGCGAAATCCTCATTTAGGGTGCAGTAAACATAGATAAAAGTCATTGAAAGTAAGGGTGCGGTCGCTCTACATATCTAAGTAAGTATAAAAGAAAGCTGACGGGATAAAGGGAAAGTCAGGTTCTTAATTCTATTATTCGTTTATTTCAGTAATTACGGTACAAATATACAAATATTTACTACTATGAGAAGGATGGTGAAAATCATCATGATTACCGGGGGCTGTAGTTTTAACCATCACGATAATCCCGAGAAAATAGACAGTCATCTATTTTATACTGCGTCCCGTATGTGAATCATAGCAAGATAATTGTTGGTGATAATTATCCCTATCAAAATGTATTCATTTTCAGGGGTAATTACAAATCAAATGGTCCGATGTTATCAGTATGTGCATTTATTTATTCCTTGTGTTCCTCTAACAACAACAACAACAAATATTAAATAGCCAATGTTATGCTCGCAATTTATTAATAAGATACATAGAATCGTGATATGCGGTATACAATAGAGGTAGCGCATGCGTATTAATAGTCACTCACAGCATCGTAGTTATTCCTAATGTATGTTATCATAAGGAAATGCTAGGCCTGTATCGTGTAGGATTTTAAGAAAAGTTAAATTTTACTTTTTCTTTCAGTGCACATATATTTCATTAATGAGTTTTTTAAATTATGAAAAGTTTTACTTAATAGCATTTTGAACTTCATGTCATGTCTGTCTTGATTTATCACCTTATTTTCCCTTCTTCGCCTACAGATTGCTAGCAAATTTATAATATTCCATGCACTTTATTATCATACCCATTGGTCAAACCATAGGCATCGATAGAGTATTTGGAAGGGGTTAGACTAAGGGAGAAATACATTATCTTTTTGTGAATTACTGGCAAGTTTTAAAAGAAATCCTATAGTTTCCATATTTATCAACATTATTGGTTTATCGAAATGAATTCATGGTTTATCGAAGTGGGGGCGTCACCTCGGCCCCTCCCAGCAAAGACACAACGTTCTCAAGACGTGCACAAAACGTCCTGAAGACGTTGAAACCTTTAGAGGGCGTCTTTTTAGTCCAAAGTACGTTTTGCGTTTCCTTGGCTCTATAGCAACGCTCCTGAATCCAACTCGTCTCTAGTTCCGAAGCGACATCTTCAATACCCAGAAGTTCGCTAAACAGACAGTCATGAAGCTAATACTCGTTCCGGCAAAGGTTGTGGCCGAGTTACACAGGTTGTTGGCGCAGAAACAGGCTTCACCTTTCATGCTGGTCACTCGACCTCCGTGCTTCGCGACGACGTTCTCGGTCTGCCGGCGGACTTCATCGATGTTGGGTAACTGACTGAAATCTCGACATCCATTAGCTGGCGACTTACCACCGCAGCCAAGGATTACGTAATCCACGTCCATGCTGGATATACTCGCTGTGGATTATAATAATTGTGATTAAAGAAGTATGATGATAGAATGTCATATACAAATACAAGCAGCTGAAATCAATAATTATACAGAAAAACTTGTCTCCTGTCCCCATTCACTGCTGAATAGTACAAGCATTATTTTTCTCTTGCATGTCAGAGTTTTTTTTGTTTGTATCCGAAACGGCTCACCAAGAACCTGATAACTCTCTTTTTTTTTCTTGCCAAAGAATTTAACAACTTGTGCCCCCCCCCCCCCCCCCCCTCTCCTGGAAGAAAATGTTTGATCCGGCACTGATTAATAATGATAATAATAATATTCGATTTGGTATACTAACCATACAAAGCGTTTTCCTAAGCAAGAGATTCTTCGATACAATTTCTCAAAAAGCTAAATAAAGAAGATAAATGTTTTGTTATAATACCGTAATACAAATTACTTTACCATCCACTAACCTTGCTGAAAGTTGTAATTAACGGTGAAATTTTGTGTGAAGCACTTTCCAGTACAATCGATGGTGGGCGTTTGGCTTTGGGGGCCGATATCAGTGCAACTTGCTATGGGATGTTTACTTGCTGTCTGTGCTAGCAGTTGGTTTCTTGAGCCAAGTCCGAAGCACTGGTAACATTTCTTCTGACCATTCACTAGAAAAAAGGGGAAGGTAGTTTCGTTTAAAAAAAAATGAATTAAAAAACAACTGTACTTCAGTCATAATCTACAATATACTGATACAATCTCGCATGTGTTTTTTTATTATCACTGCAAAGAAGAGTTATGTAAACATAAGACTCAACAGTAGACACATTCACGAAGAGCACACAGATTTATTTATCTTCATTCTTTAGTTTGAATCAAGATATTGACCATGATGATATACAAATAGAGATTATTCTTCAAACGATTACAAATAGAGATTATTCTTCAAATGATAACAAATCACTCTGACACAGAATCTCTGCTCTGATCACTAAACTTCTCATACTGTGTTGAAATTGCCCTCGAGTTGAGTTCTGGAAAGTCATCGCGATCGTATTACATTTTACATAGAACATAAATTCAAGGAAGGGGCACATTATTATACTCTGCATGCTGTATATTAATCACAGATATGGTATGCCGGCTCCTAAACTCAAAGTATATGTATGCTGTAGAAATCAAGTCTAGATTATTTAGTATTTACACGTTTCAAAAAGTGATACACATGGCTATTGAAATTGTGTTTATATTTTGAAAATCTTAATTATCATGTTCATTGGATTTTTATTCAACTAACGTTGGATAATAAATATGCCTATAGGCTGCGAGGTCTATGGAGAGTGTTTAGTTTACTGATGATACTCTACTTCATGGAACAAAAAATCTACATACATAAACATATCGAATATGTCTTGAGCATTGAGCATTGGAGCACTTGAGCACTTGAGCATTGGAATGATTCAGGGGGTCTAATAGGCATATCTTTCAAAGCCAGTTTCTACTCTAACTCCCCCTAATTGCAGGGACAGGGGTACGAGATATATAAGAGGAAGGATAGGGAGAGGCGAAATAATTCCATGACTCATAAAACGGAAAAGGGTGTAGTTATCAACGTATTGGTTACTAGGCAACAGCTCAACGGTGCTGAAGACGGAGTACAAGGGGGAAGGGTGGCACCCCCCCCCCCCCCCCACCGCCCACCCAACCCTTTCAGATAGGGTCTGTTCGCCAGCGCGGCTACACTTAATTTTTCTACAACATCGTACTTTACTGGCACACAGCCAGCGACACTCCCTGTCAAATGATGCCGACATTTTGGTATGCTCCTATGTGAATCGCCATTGCGTACGGGTAGTGAAAATGTAATACAAATATTGCTAAGTATATGAACATTTTTTTTCTTTTCTTCATTATAACTTTCAATTTAATCCAATTACGTTATTTAATAAACACAAGACTATATCATTGTTATAACTTCCGGAGCCTATGACCTACAAGCATTACTTTCTCTTTAGGCTCCATCATATGTCTTCCTTTATTTAACTTAGTCTTATGTATTATTCTTTTTCTTTGTATAAATGCATCCAAAAATGATTACAAAAATGTAACATGCCAAATATAATGATATGTTATGCAACATGTGAAATATGAAAATAAACTGAAACTGAAACTGAAACTGAAATAGCAAGAACGAAAGAAAAGGAGATAATAATTAACGAGAGAGGGGGAGGGGAGGGTGTGTGAATGTGTCTGTGTGTGTGCGTGTGTCTGTGCGTGTGGAGTGTGAGTGTGAGGGAGGGGAAGAAAATGTGAGAGAGAGCGAGAGAGAGAGAGAGAGAGAGAGAGCGAGAGAGAGAGAGAGAAGGAGGAGACCGGATCGAAAGGGGATTTGAAACAAAATACGCTACAGCCCACAACTTCCCCTAATAATGACCTTGATAATTCGCATTTCATCCACCAAGAATTAAAAAACGGTCTCCTAAATGATGCCGGTGCCCCATCTATGTCTCATCTATATGCCGAAAAATGGTTTACAGTGACTGTGTCGAACACAGGGAACAATATCCCACATTCCATCAGAAAATCTTACTTTAATATTGTAGAACTTTAGAACGGGGAGACAGTGTTTGGAATACTTTCTCATAACAAGATTAACCAAAATACAACCAATGAAAAATTACTTAATTTGAATAATAAATGGAGAATCTGAAAAAGATTAGGCAATTCCAAATAATTTAAATCAACATATTTTGTTTAAATCAAATCTCTTTAAACAAGTTTACAATGATCTTAGGTGTAGATGAAAGATGGAAATCTTTTGGTGAAAAAAAGGTTTTTACACAGCGCATTATACTCGCTTAACATAGTAGGGTAGAATTTTAAGATATGATTACAATTGCAAATATAGATATGTTTATTGAGATTGAGTTTTCTACAGAATTATCTTTTCATCGATTTTTGTGATTTTCTAAACCTTTTGTAACTTAGCACTTTGACAAAATGATTACAATTATTAATAAACAAATACAATGTAAACATGTAATAGTGCACTTGGGATGTATCATTTTTATTTAGGGTTTAAATTGCCGTCCCCATAAGTTGTGATTGAGTATATAGCATAAAAACAAACATATTGATTAAATATGGCAATATACAGCAAATGAATTGCCCGATTAGTCACCCAGATGCATGACACAAATGTATTATATGAGATTGAAGGAATAACGAACATGCTAGACGGAGTTATATATTAGAGGTATTTATCTAACATATTCAAAACTGATTCTCTAAATAGGACCTCGTGATAAATATGCTCTCGAGCTTTCATGGGCCATTCTGTCAAGTTATTTTTTATATATATTCTCGTATTCTATTTCTTTTTCCATGTCTTTTGTCTATATTGTGATTTTATTTATATCATGTATTTAGCTTGACAAATCAAATCAACAACAAAAATGTGACTATTTTAAATATACCATGACACACTTTAATACCACACGGTGCATGATATATGTGCCAATTGTGTATACATATTAAACACTATTTTCTTTTAATCTTATACTCACCAGAACAAATGACGAAGACCAATAGGATAAGAAAGGACTGGCTTGCAGTTCTTACGGCCCCTGCAAATTATTAAAAAAACATTAACAAGATTATAACGCCCAATATCATATTATCTAAAAAAAAAAACATTTTAGCTATCGATCAAAAAAAGGGCCGCATAGTACTTTGAAGATTAACAGTGGAAGAAGAACAGGAAATTAATGAGTTTTTATCAAAATAGTTTTGTTAGTATAGAGTAAACCATATTAGAGCTTTTCAACAGACTTTGTTTGCAGTTTACTATATTCTTCACGCTCTATCACTTATCTGAACCAGATAAAGTTTGAAGATTCAAATGAATAATACGTTTTGCAACGCCATTATAAAAATTATGTTGTCCGTTCAAATATATTATTACCTTTTATTTCACAGGAACGCCGTATTATATCTCAGAATGCATTTGTTTACGGAAATTTATCAATAAATTCAAAGAACTTTCAAATGGCTATTTTGTTCCCCTTATTTTGGCGTAAATATTCACAACTGAATTATACGCGCTGTTAAAACTAAAACAGTCACTATTTAAATTGATTATTCTTCCAATTTTGTTGAGTACAGAATAAACGGAATTATTTTGAAGGGGTAATAAGATTCCGAAAATAGCATATTATGCCCCGCCCCTTCCGCCCCAAGTGGCTTATCAAAAGTACATGATGTGACTTTGGAAGCAAGCTTTAAACCGAGAAACGCGTCTACCCCCTTCCCCTTCCTTAAGTGATAACAAACGGTACATCCGCTGATCAATTGCTTTAGGTCTATTGAGGGAAAAGGGAAGGGGCTACTTAGGGCTCATGGCAGCATGACACATTTACTGCTGCCAACTTAATTCAAGCTAAGATATTTGCAAGTTCTCGCGCGGGTTGTCTTCTCCAACGATTTCGGCAGCCATGTTGGATTAGAGAAGAAATTTCGCGATGAGTGATTAATAAACCATTAATACACACTCACATCAAGCTCGATAGAATTACGCTGTCTAAATATTTAATTGTATATTGGCGATAGCAATTCATTGAGAGAAGGATCATCATAAAAAAAGAGAAATATCTAGCATTAAAAGATATCGATGAAAAATTATTGTTCGATGTACCCGTATGTTTTTCTTTATGGGTCACACGGTTTTTTGCATGCATTTTTGTGAATATACTTTACTTAAGATACCATAATAACTAATCGGACGGGTAAGTAATACAACAATAACAAGTGACATAAATGACCATCATTAGCAGATACACGTTTTTGCTCCAGTATTTCTGCAGTGATCTGCCCTAGAATAAACTTTGTATGTCCCTAGATTCCTAGCCCAATAATAAGATGACTGAAATCAGAAAAGTAGTTTTTGAATGGTTGAATTTTTACATTACGGTCCTTCGTATAATGATATGAAATATAATATAACAGATTTCGAGAAAACGGAAAAATTTAAATGATCCTCCTCCCCCCCCCCCCCAAAAAAAAAAATAGGAGAAGAAAGAAAACCTGTTTATCATATAGTTGTAAACTATTTTGTCCGTAAAACGACAGATTTGATAGTATGATAAAGTTTTGCATTATTACAAAGAAAAATAAGGAAGACAAACTTACCCATGTTGTTGACACTAAGGTCAGATCTTCGAGAGAAAAAAAACTGAATGAAAAAGTTATCAAACTAGCCAAGAAGATTGAACTTCCCTGTAGACTACTCCTGTATGATGTATCACACCCTGATCAAACACTTCAAAGTGAACTTGATTTCCTAATCACTATATTTATGCTTTTAGAGAGTTTATGGCGGTGGTTGAAAGACGAAAACATAACAGATATTTGACGCAAGGGGACGCTCTACACTCTAGACTCCCCCGACTTTTTATACATCTGCCTGCTGTAATATTGTACATGTATTTATCGAATGTAACTATCTTACTGCCATTAAAAATGTATTTATGATTTTGTTTATGTCATTTACTTGCAATGTATTTATTGTAATAAGTTATAATTATCAGCGTAACATTTTTGTGGCTAAATAAATACTTCTGCAACAATGCAATCGTAGCATAGAATACAAGATGAATGAATGTAGATCAGTAAAATCAAATAACCAAACTCTCTCTTACAGTCTAAGAATAAGATTGTTTTCCAATAATAGTTGCAATGAGTGATGGTCCAAGATTGATGAACTTAGAAAGCTGTAAGAACTAGAACCAAAGCTTTATAAATTAAAAAAAATAAAAAGATGGTGAAGAATAAGATTTCCGTATCTATATCAGTTCCAGTGACATTGATTGTTCCGGGCTCTATTCTGTCACTGAAGTATATGGTCATAGGGCAAGGGTTTCAATTGGGTTTTAGGGTTGGGGGTTTACATAAACGGTTATTACACCTACTGTTTGGTATGGTCCAGGGTGAAGTTTAAGGCCAATCCAACCAGTGTCATAAGTTTATTTGAATGAAAGCAGAAAAAACAGGAGAGCCAAAATGACGAAAGCTTGAAATAAATCCGACCCGATAAAAAGGTTATAATATTTCAAATATGAGGTCACTGTAGATTGTGAAGTACATTTTGCACCCTCCAAAATGACATTTTTAATATTAGTTGTGTGTTAGAACAAAATGTGAAAGTTGTCCGTCGCTATACACGAAACAATTCACCAAATCTGAAATACCCATTATCTACAGTGATTATAATTTGTTTAATTCATGACTTTCATATATATCTTATGTCCGATTTCGTTCAAACTTAAATTAAAACAAGTGTGCCTCTTTGATTTTCTGCTTTCTATTAGATTAGTTTGCCATTTAAGTTGGATTTCCAGTTAAGAATTCGGTTAGTGTATAGGAAATTGACGCGGGGTACCAGTCTTTATTCTGCTATATATCAGCGTTTTACAACCTTTATTTTAGTCACGGCACTCTTTTATGAGTCAAAATTTGAGGGGGTAGATTGACTAGGCCGGGAGGGGATATACCCATTGGCCCAAAAATTGCATTTTAAAGTGAAACGGACACATAATAATATACTCTCTCTCTGACTCTTTTCCCGTAGGCCTATACCGTATGTGTTTTATCTTTCACTCCAATCTCAGTTTCTTTTTCTTCTCTCATGTACACAGAACGGATTACCCTATAAGCAAAACGTTTATTCCACCTTTTACAATATATTTCGTTACATACTTATGTTGTCCTCAGGTTATTGATTCACATAATAGTATATTCTTTGAAGAGCGTTTTCGAGCAATCTATAGTATTTCCTTTTTATGATCTCACGCTTTTTTTTTCTTTTCCTTCATCTCTCACTCTCCCCTGTTTGTTTGTTTTTGCCATTAGATCGGGGCATGACGTGCCCCCCCCCCTCCCTGCCGGCTGCTCCACCACTGTGCCGTACAACAAAATTATCACCTTTTTATCAAATATTGGGACAACTTCGTCATAACATTAACACACACTAAATAGAAAAACATTAACCTGAATCTCAATGTGCTGCATTATCATCAAAGTCTTAATTCGGTCTCTAAAATGTAACAGTCTGTGGACATACCCCATATTGCATTTTCTTAATTTACAAAAAGAAATTACTATTCGAGAATGCGACCTTTAACGACTACAATTCCTTAGCCTACTGTTTTCTGAACTAATAATGAGTATAATTATAAGTAACGTCACGTAATGCTATTGACCACTTTTTCAAGCACCATCTATAATTGTATTATTAATGGCTAATGACTTATTTTCGAAATATTTTATGGCATGCATGCATACAGCTTTTAGTCGCATGCTTTTAGTTTCGGGGTATGATATAGGTCGCTACGCCTCTAAAACTTTAGGACCTATAGATGGGTGCAAGGTATTGAATAAAATACACTTTTAAAAACGAAATATATCAAAATCACAAATTTTCTCTCAAATAAAGTTATGTATTTTGTCTACTGTTAGGAATGTTAGGTATTTGCAGAGAAGTTGTTTGTTTATGACCGATATCAATCGTGCGGTTTATTCTCAGACCGAGTTGCGCTTTCGAATTCCGGAATAATTGACCATATTTTCAATTTGTTTAAATAATGAAATAGAAACAAAGGGTATGTGTAGATCAAGTTTCAAGGTAAACCACCTTGTGGGTAAAACCCAGACGAATGGAAAATGACTTCCTTAATTTTCTTTCAAATTTGAGTACTGACCTGTGGTGTTAAATCACTCCTAAGGTCAGAAAAAATGGTTCTGAAAGCGTCATATAATTATTATGGAGGGTATACAATCACTGAGCGTGCACTGACCAATGAATGAGGGGGTGGCAGGTCATAACCTTTTGGTATACCAGTGCATAACTCCCCCGCCCCCCCCCCAAAAAAAAACAAACAAACAAACAAACAAACAAACAAACAAACATATATAATAATAATAATAATGATGATGATAAATAAATAAATAAACACACAAATAAATGAATGATACCAATGAATGCATAGATAAACAAAGAGCAATAATATTTGTAAGGCATCAAATCCACTTAAGATTAATACTCAGGGCGCACAAGTGCATCAGATCAGACAGCATGCATACACTTCAGTACCGTTCGAATATGAAAGAGATTTAAAAAATATATATTCATAATGTACAATTAACTATAAGCCAAATCGAACAGATACAAATACAAATAGATCATGAACAAATAAATAAATAAATAGATAAATAAATAAACAAATAAATAAACAAATAAATATATAGGCCTAAGAATAAATAAATAATTAATAAAATAGATAAATAAACAAAATGTTAAACCATTAACGATTGCCTTGCCATGTTCTCGCATCAGATATATCGTACATGCGGCTTTATATACTCTTTGTCTTTCATCAATTTATTGGAGAAGTTCCAACTAACAGAGGATATAGGCCTATCTTCTAAATTGATTAGTGACATTATGGCAGACGACTGTCATAATAAGCGTTTCCTCGAAAATTAATCGAAGTTTCATATTTAATCAGTATTCATCAGTAATTGAAACCAATCCCTGTTGCCTTGTAAATATTGATAAATATCGATTGTCAAGAATCAGGAAATCTTTGAGTATCATGTATTTCTGAAATTATGATGGCAGATCAAGGAGTCTTAGAGATAAGTCTTGGATGACTGATAATAAGCTTTCTTTATACTTGGGGAAAACAGAAAGCATTTTATTTTGTTCTAAAAGTAGTTCTAAAAAGTCATTTGAATTCAAAGTGACACACAATAATCAAGCAATCAAGAGAAAAGAGTCTGTGAAGTATTTAGGCATTGAGTTGGCTAGCGCAATTTCATTTTCATCTTTAGTAGAATCAGTAATGTCGTAAAAAAAAGCAAATTCTCGTCTGAAATTTTTGTACAGATATCAAAGTTGTATGGATTTAAAAGCAAGACGTACACTCTGTTTTGCTCTTATTCAATGTTTATTTGACTATGCTAACCCTGCATGGTATAGTAACATAAACAAGTCAGATCAACAGAAGTTGAAGATTATACAGAACAAAATGGTGAGATTTATCAACTGTTCTGGTCCAAGAACTCATGTTGGCTACAGCGAACTTTTTAAAGCTGGTTTTCTTGAAGTCGACCAAAGATCAAAACAACTCGTATTGCATCACGTGCATAAAATATATCATACTAGGTCAAATAATTATATTCGATCCAACTTCGATCTTGTTAATGACGTACATGATTATAATACAAGAAATAGCCGATTCAACTTTAACTTACCAGAAAGAGTAGGTAGTATTGGAAATTCGTTTTATTACAATGCCATAAAACATTGGAATTCCCTTCCCAATGGTGTAAAAGAAATAGGAAATTATGATCATTTTAAGAGGAAATTAAAGGAATACCTAATACTTGACAGTCAGAGAAGAGAATTGAATGACATGTATATGATTGAAATTTGTATTCTTCTGTTGGTTTATACTTTTTCATGTTGTATATACTTATGTTTTAGTACGTTATAGAAATTCTACAAATTCATCATTATTTTCCTATTCTTCCTTCTCCTCTTTTTCTTCTTCTCCTTCTTCTTTTTCTTCTTGTACTTAATATCATTTCTATCATCAGTTTAATGTTGTTATTATTATTATTATCTGTAATAAGTAGTTCTTTTAATTTTCTTATCTGTCTGTAAATATTACTATTTTAACTTATTAATTTATACATGTCTGTAAGGGACCCCACTGGAAATAAGCTCTCGAGCTTTCGTGTGTTATCCTGTTCAAGCTGACTTATTTCTGATCTGTTATTATTGTATATTTGTTGTATGTTGGAAGCTTGTCTAATAAAAATCAATCAAAGAGACGGGGAGAGCTAGATGGGTGTGCAACTCAACTTAAAAAAGCGAAAATGAGAGAGAGAGAGAGAGAGAGAGAGAGAGAGAGAGAGAGAGTGAGAGTGGGGAGGGGGAGGGAGGGGGACGGGTACAATGTATTAAAAGGTATAGGCTAAGGAATGAGTCTTGCCTATACTAACTCCCCTAACTCTCGCCAACTACCCAGGTCTGTAACTAAGCATGATTCATGCCATCCGTAATAGCTCTACCATACCCTGGCTCTACCAATAAAAAGATATAGTATCCTTAATTTTGTTTTCACAAGATTTGAAAAGTTTGGTAACGTAAAAGAGTGTGTTATTATAGACTACCCAGCTCTAACATGAGACCAATCATGCAATGAATAACTTGAACCGAAATCAAAACAAAAGTTCCGTGGGTCGGTGTGATGTGACGTGACGTGCATGCACATGTGAATTTCGAATGGATGCCTTGCAGAGATTCCCTACTTGCATCTTAATCTTGGAGGTAGACTCTAGACTTACATACTGATTTGTGGGAGTGAAGGTATATATATCAGACGACAAAATCATGGCTACTCCTCATATGCATATGAATTTGCAAATCCATGTACCGGGATTATGAACGATTTAAGCTAAAGATCATCTTGACGAATCTGTATTGGACGGAACAGGCAGAAGGCTCCGGTGCAGAGTTGGGAGAGAAAAACTAGCCGGAACTCTGGCGTAGCTCAGCTCCGTTTAGCATCTGCTCCCTCACATTCGCTAAGAAGAGTCAACACAATGCAATGGAGGTTCGATTTTCGAAACAGTCAGATAATTGAAGTGTTTACATCGCTAATTACACCTTTACAACAAGCTCAATAGAACCAAGGTTAATTTGATATCCTTCACTGTAGTTGGAATTTTGAAGTGTCGTAGCTAGTGTCAAACAAAGGAAAAACATGACGTTACTCTAGTACAAAGTAGTAGATCTACGTTAGTCGGTACTGTGTATGACCAGTACTTAGTCTACTCAGTATTTGGAAGAGGACAGTGATTGAAGCAGATGACAATGGATACTCCAAACTATGACATGTGGCAAGGTAATATTCTCGGTGGTTTTTGGATCTGTATTTATGTATTTTTCATCAGAATTTATGTGTTCAAAATGTATTTGGGAGCATCAGCCTAAAAGTTATATTTTCAGTACCCTTGGCCTGGTCGTGTGTAAAACTGACACTGAATTTAGTTTAGTAAAAGTAAAAAAAGAATGAAAACGAGATTGACACAAGCAAAAGCACTTATAACATCAATTGTGAAACACACTTGATGTTGTAACACTGTAGTACTTCAACTATTGATTTGTTGATAATTTATTTTTAACTGCTTGTAGTAGCTAATTTCTATGACCATTTTCGATTGGTTTCATATTAAATCCCAAGTTACTTTGGTTGCACACTAGCCTTCAGTTCACATTTACATTATATTTACATTCAGATTGATAAGACTGGTTTCATATATTGAATTGAGATATATTTTATTTAGTTTTAAAACAACAATATGCACCCTCCTCACAGACTCACACTTCTTTTAGAAATTCTTTTCTTTTTCTCATGCCAAATAATTCATTATAGAGCCTCCCTATAGTATGAGGAAAGCTATTTGGACTATCAAATCATGTCATATTCACCTTATTGCAACCAGAATCGAGGGCTTCAAATTTTATCAAACCCTTGGATCCAAGTACAGTGTACAACTGTACATGTGTATACTTAAGAGAATCTACCAAGGGAGTTATTGGTTTCGAAACCAAAATCAATCCTGATTTAGACCCCTGCTTACATCGACATGTAAGTCAGAATTCAGAAATTATCTTGGTACGCCCCGAAACATGGTTTGGTCATTTATATCTACTTGCCAGAAGTTACCTGATGCAGGGATTGAGAAGAAGAACAGGATTGAATTAATTCCTGCAAAGTGACGAATTTGGCTAGTAAAATGACAGATGACACAATGCTATTTGTAATATAATGCTGGCTTGTGATATATAAGAGATTCCATCCAGGCTTGGAGGTCCTTTCTCGATCCATCCACAATGATCGTTGAAACTTGCCAGAACTTATATGCAAAGTGCGTGCTAGTTTTTAAGGCACATGCTATAATTTGACGCTATAACAATTCCATAAAGTTTGAAACTGAGCCAACTGTCAGTCCCTGGTTGTGTCCTTCCCCCTTTTCACACAGGGGTAAAATTCTTTAAAGCTAATTAGTTTAAAGAGCTTTAAACTAATCAGTTTTAGATCAACATCATTCACACACAGAAAATTTTGGTGCGGTCGTTTGAGATTCACTGCTATTTAAACACTCAGTAGGGCCATTGCGCATTTACCCTACTAATGCCTAGGTCACATACATGTATAAACAGGGCCCCAAATGATTTTCACTACCCGGCGGCTTACCGTGGATTTAGATGTTGTACGGGAACCTGCCGATTTTCATTTCTACGGCATGTGTGGTCACATATTCTGCAGCGCCCGGGAGGTGCTCGGTGAAAATTGGTCGAGTGAAATGCAAATCGCCCGTAAGGGTGCCTGCCGGTGAGCTTACGGGCTCCGTCCGATGGATGAGCAGGTGCACCCATGGCTCCCGGAAGGTGCCCTGCCGGGGCCCGGCCGGGTGCTGTGCTGTAAACTGAACTATGTGTCATCTGACATCCGCACCTCCTGTATTTAAAGCTGCGTTGTACATTTTGAGATGCCGCCGTGAGGGGCCCGCACGGGCAATATTCATTTCAAATGGTTTTAGCGTTGAGGGTGTGTTATTTTCTCAGCTGATTGGGTGCGTGACATGGAAACAGTCCAGGCAGTGGATAATGTCGGGACCTGCTGTTAGTGCATAGCCTAGCTGTGGGGTGCAGTAGACCTTGCAACTCTGCATAGTCTCCTAGTTCAGACACGCTGTTGTACTTCACATATAAAACTAAGAAGGGGTTTATGCCTGCAAACTAAGTACATGTACATGCTGTGCTGTGTCTCTGTCTCTGATGAAGTAAACTTTCCAATACTCCAAACCTGACTTTAGCTAGTTGATGTTTAGAGTTTGCAGTTTGCAACTTTGCACCATATTCAAATTTATTTCAGGTCACAGAAGAAGGTGATCTCAGACTGCTTTTCTCAAAAAGTGATAAATTACAGGTATCTATATTTTGTGTTTATAGCTAAGTAATAAAGTAAAAGCAGGCCTAGAACCATAGCTACTTACAGTATGAGAGAAAGTTATGTCACCAAAGCTTGCTTCAGATTGGTCATACATTTCATGAAGCTCCAAAAGATTTCCTTCTCATTGAGATTGTACGTGGGAGGGAACTTTTTGAAGAAACATGATTTAACTCATGACCCATTTTGTGTATGATTAAATGCACGTATCACAACTATACATGTTTCTCTCTCAATAGTCTATCCCTAACCTACTGGAAGGGGGAGGGTTAGAAGGGAGGTTTTGATTTTCCCCCTTTTTTGTATGTGAGACAGGTCTTGGTTAGGACATAATTTGATGTCCTTCCTCAGTTTCCTATTTATGAGTGCTATCCGTCTGGAGATACCTATCTCTCTTCTTTTACCCCTCCTTTTACCCTCAAGCTTTTAAAGCCATTAGAAGCATGTTCACACTAAAGAAGCAGCAACAATACTTTGATATACTGTCTCATGATAGGCACCATGATGAGCTTCTTCAAATTTAACATTTATACATGTTAGACCTTGTGATGCAAATTCTCAACTCACATGATTTTTTACAGATGACTTTTTTGCTCAGCTGAGAAAATAATTGTGTTCATAATGTGATTTTGATACAAACAAATGTAGGAGGGTCATACAATGCCTTCATAAAGGAGAACTTATAAATGCAAAGTTTGGGGAAATTTTGAAAATAGGATGGACAGTAATCCTTTAAAATTTTGATATAATTTGGATGCCCCTGTGGATGTATTATAAGCACTAGAAAATTTTGCCACTAAAACACTTCTGCTTTCGAGAAATTGAATGATAACAAAATTACCGGTGCTCCCAGTAAATTCAAATATTTCAAATAGCGCTTATGGCCATTCCATGTTTGGTGCGGTCATGAAAATCTCAGAATATGCAGTTCTGATATAATTTCTAAACAGGAATAGCACTACAGTCGATTTTAGTCAAGAAACATTGTTTTAAAGTTGAAGTAATATCAGTCTTGAGAGGGAGCTTTACAACATAAAGATTTTATTATTACAATTTTATCACTTTCGACTCGATTTCAAGCGCGACAACGATCATTGAATATTATAAAATCGCATGTGCATCCAATATACTGTATGTTCATTTGAACCAAATTCATGACCCCGTACCAAAACTTTGTATTACCTTTAATATCATTGAACTGTTATTGTTAAAAATGACGATCATTGCTAACGAGGTCTTCTCTACTGCCTGTTAGTCCAGACTCTATTTTTATTTTTTTATTTTGTTTTCTTCTTTTCTATCATCATTTCCCGCCCTTTTGTCCCACATGCACTCGGAGCACAAAGTCCACTTATCAGGCGATCCTCGTTAATACACACGTCGAAGGTATAATGATGGAAGGACTCTCCGATTTAGAGTCTTAGCTGATTGGGGACGCGATATGGAAGCAGGCCAGGCAGTGCCCTCTCCATTCCAAGTATCCTGGGATCCCCCATTTCCTAGAAAGAGTTTGTGTACTCTGTCTATGACGATACATGTTCATGTACCGGAACTTGAGTGTGTTGTTTGTTTTGTGATATAGCTTTGTTTGTTATCAAGATGTTCAATTTCTTATATATGTTTTTTTTGTTTTGTTATTTCACCACCTCAATGTGATCCTGGATGTTTCAGTTTATCAAATTATATTCTTGTATTTCAGAAGAATATTAATGGCAATTAATCCCAGGACAGGAAAAAACACTTACCATATTTTAAAACATTCATATCTCATAAGAATCATCAACTTCCGAAAAAGATTATGTTTTCTTTACATTGTTCTTGAATCAGTCTAAGTGCCTATATTATAGAATAAATACTAAATGCACCTTCTTTTCTTTAAAATTCCCATATTTCTTAAATTTTCTTTTTTCTGTTTGCTGAGGTTTATCATGTGGAATCAATTCCCTGTTGTAGGTATTAGGATGATATCAAGAACACAGAAGTCCACTCTGGCTTCAAATTGTCTTAAACATTAGCAGGAAAGTGAGACAAATAATCTGAAAGTGTCAAGAAAATCGAGGGTCAAGAAATTTAAGAAGTTTAAAGTTTGCCATCAAAGGCGATCAATGCATAAAGTTCTATGTGCTCCCAACGTAAAATTAAAATATAATGATTCAGTAACTGAATCATTATATTTTAATTTACGTAAAATTAAAATATAATGATTCAGTAACTGAATCATTATATTTTAATTTTACGTTGGGAGCACATAGAACTTTATGCATTGAGTGCTGTATGATATTATCTGAGATAACGTGCTCTCATTGGCCGATCCACTCAAGCAGTTTCAAATTTAAGTGAGAGAGGGCTAACTTATATAAAACAGAAATATCAACAAACATTTCAGTACAACTTGCCATTTTGTACCTTGAATATGACAAAAACAAGAATTTTTTAAACTTATGGTGGGTATTAGTATGTAAGACTTAAACTTAAGTAAAATACTTAACCTTTTAAGGATGCTGAAAAAATAGAAGGTTTGACTGAGATATCATGATTTTGGTATCAGATCAAACGGAAAATCGCTAGCTTTCTCCTCGCACCAATATCTTATAACGTTGAGCGAATGGAAGCCAGTGATAGCCAATCAGAAGGAGATTTATGATGTTGTATGTATATCATATATGTCTATTACATGTAAGTATTTTACCCCTTGAACCTGAGCTGAAGTTCTTGAAGTGCCCCCCCCCCTCCATTTTCTAGAAAATAAATGCAATTAACCTGGTTGCTACAACCCTCACAATAACAATAGAATATAGAACTATGCCCCCATCTTCTTTTAATCTTCTGGAACCATGCCTAGCCTGCTATATGAGTGAAAAATGAGCAGTATACAGATTATTGAGTAGGTGATCTGAAATTTACTCTGACAAGAGTTGTGCCATACTGTATATCTGTATTTAGATTTGGTAGATTTCTCATTTCATGAATTAATTTCAAACTATCACCATTCTGTATCTGGTGGTTTGAAAATTTTGATGAATTCTGAGAAGTGAAGATATGAACTGCATTATTGAGTTTTGTTCAAAGTGCTGAGTGAACAAAATATTGTTTTCTTCTGTTATCATTAATGATTAACCAGCCAGATATGGTATAATGAGTCAATATTGGATGTGCTCTCTAAAATTTAGAGCACTGCAGTAGAAAATATGTAGCCCTGGGAACCTTTTTGGGAGTTAATTGATTTGATTGCATTCATGAAAAAAACATTTATCTTTAAGATTGTATAAAGGAGTTACATATGTAGAAATAAAGAAAACTATTTCATTTACTGGAACTTTCTTGATAGAAAAGGAAGAGAGAGAGAGAGGGGGTGAAGGAAAAGAGATCTGTAGTAAAAGAAAGATGAGAGAGAGAGAGAGAGAGAGAGAGAGAGAGAGAGAGAGAGAGAAAAGAGAGAGAAAGATAGTCCAGATAAAGTGAAATTGGAATAGATAGAAAGACAGATAGAGTTAGGAGTTAGCTACATGTACATGTAGCTAGAGCGATGTGCATGATAGGATTGAATAAGGACACTTAATTTTAATGTAGAGGAAGTGGAAATTCAATCTTTTGGGAGTCATATCAGGATGATTTCATTTGGAGTTGAAACCACTCTAGACTTATAGTGGAATCCACTCAAAAGTACTTGGGTAGTGGTTTAATCATTCTACTACATGTACATGTACAGTACCTGTATTTTGACGGTAAATTTCAATTCCAAAACAAAAGTATCCCTAAATATGACAATTCCTGTTGGTTCATAGAATAGTAATTACATGTTAAAGGCACTATTTAATGTGAAAAATGCTGGATCAGTCAATTAATAACTAGGATTATATATGGGTAGTGATAATGGCATGGAATCCTTTTGAAATCACCCCCCCCCCCCCACCCCCAGCCTGATCCTCTAGTAATGGTATCTGTGATTTAAAGGAAAACATATGATTTCATTATTCCTTTTGGAAATGAACATAAAACATTTCCCTCACTAAACAATGATATTATAAAAACTTACATATATGTTTTTTGTTTACATTTCTACCCAAATTAATTTTCAAAAGCACCTTTAAGTGGAGATGCATAATTGCAAGGTTATTACAGTATGTGCGGCTTGTTAACCTAGGTTTCCTCAATCACTTGTATGAATTACTTCCTACACGCAGTGCAATGAAAATATCACCCAATATCCTGTTGAAGTCAAAGATCATACTGTGTGTATCTGAAACTAATTAGAGACTCAAGGGTTACAAAATTTGAGATGAGTCAGTTCTAGGCTCTGTTTTCGTCTGAATTGGGTATATCACTAGAGAATAATTGTTGTGAAACTATGGGTGCGTTTATCGTGTCTTGCCACTAGATATGTATCGAACCCCACTATCGAACCCCACTATACGAATGTGATTTGCGGGATGTCGCGTTTATCGTCTCTTCACGATTCAAAATAAAGGCCTTGTCTCTGCGCAGCTGCTTTGCGCCGTTTGACCCGGGAAGCAGACAGTTTCTCGGAGGTCAACAACAACATGACACAACACATTGGTGCACTATCTCTGAACCAGAAATTAGCCTTGGAAGGTCCAATTTGTATGTGGGGTTCAAAACAGCTTTGCGTTTATCATGTCTCAGAAAACGTGATTCTGGCCGTATGTCACATTCAAAACACACCTTTTTCCGGGTTACAATATGCCAATATCTAAAGACGTTTGAAAAAGGCTTTGCGTTTATCACCTTAAAAATTGCCTGAAAGACATTTGAGAAACCTGATTCTAGAGGCCCGGTCACACAGCCTTTCGCGTCTGTATCGCGGGTAAAATTTCGCGATTTTTTTTTTGCCCGCGGTTGCCCGTGGTGGAAAAATGTGCAAAATTGGCTTACCCGCGGTGTACCCGTGGTATGCCCGCGGAACAGACGCCGGCGACTGTTCCGCGTCCTTATCGCGGGTGAAGCGCGGCGGTACCGCGGCCTACCACGCTTACACGCGGTACACACGCTAATGCACGTGAAAACAACGCGGTACAGACGCGGAACAAACGTGCTATGACCGTGCTCCACCCGCGATTACCCGCTGAAATTTCGCGTCCAATTCCGCGTGTAACCACGTCTTAACCGCGGCCGTAGCACGTCCTAGCACGTTCGTTCCGCGTCTGTACCGCGTCTTTACCGCGTGTGTACCACGTGTACCGCCCGCGATTACCCGCGGTCTAAATTTTTGGGCAGCCCAAAACTTTTTCGCGCGGCCAACCGCGTGTGAATTTCTTACCGCGTGTAACGACGGGTAAAGTACGGCTGTATCGCGTCTTTATCGCGACCTCAAAGCGTCCAACAGCGTCTGCTTCACGGGCAGAAATTTTTGGCCGTGATTCGGCCGCGATACGCCCGCCGGAGGGCTGTGTGACCGGGCCTTAGGCAAAAAATTAGTCAATAAACGCACCCATAGACTGTTCATGTGTAAAATACAGTTCCAGCAGATGATCTGGATCAAGCAACAGGGCATTTAACAAAGAGTTAATGCCTTGTGGCTCTATCCCCCTGTCCACACACAACATTTTCCGTGACTAATCATGATTAGCTATACCGTTTCGCGATAGTGATACCGTTTCGCGATAGTTTTACGACCAAAATTGTAGGTGTGGACGCTCACTAACGATACGTCGTATAACGAAACTAGTCTAACGAAACGCAGGTTTGGGCATCGTTTCGAACTGAAACTCAATAAAGAATCACGCCTAATCACGGAAATGTTGTGTGTGGACAGGGGGACCCCCTGGGGGAGTGTAACTAGTGTAACTAACTGGGCGGGGCTTAACGTGACCTCGAGCGAAATGAGACCAGACCTCTTATCACTATCGCGAAACTCTATAAAGAATCACGGAAAATGTTGTGTGTGGACAGGGGGCATTTTATACGATGATTCTTTAGTGACGACGTTTCTTGTGTGTGGACATCCTGGAATTTATACGATGATTCTTTATACGACGTATCGTTATAGAGTTTCGCGATAAATTGTTTTGTGTGTGGACACGCTGTGAGTCTATGCAGACAATATAGTATACTGGTATTAGTTTTGATCAGTTAGGAATTCACTTCCACAAGATGCATTATGACATCATGATCAAGACCCAACTATTGTGATACGATTGGTAATCTATTTATGTAATCAAATACATGTACATTTGTATGTCTAATATTTATTGTTTGTAATTTGTCAACTAATCATTCTTTGCTGAAACTCTGGTATGTATAGGGGGTTGTATCCCGGCCCCCCCCCCCCCCACTCAGTGTTATTTAGGGTACGCATATGCAAGTTCCAAGCGACCCCCCCCCCCCCCCCCTTTTCAGCAAAAGTCCGGTGTGTAAAGTCAGTACGGGTCGACCTTTTTCTTTTGCTATACAAGCCTTTTCAGCACCCCCCCCCCCCCCTTTTCAGCAAAAGTCCGGTGTGTAAAGTCAATACGGGTCGACCTTTTTCTTTTGTTACGAAAAGGACATTATGGTAACACGCATGGGGTCCGTCCATTCTCGGAGTGGGGGGGGGGGGGGCCGGGGGTTGTACACTTGTAGGATCTACTGTATCTGTAATTTATCAATATTTCTTTTTATCCCAATTAACTCAATAATCAGGTTGTTTTCTGGTAAGGTGCAGAGGTTTGTACATGTACATGTATGTCGCGAATGAAAGATGCCTTATACATTCTTTCAATGGGAGTATTATCTTGTTTCCTGTTCTGCCTGTAGATGTTTGTACGGCTCTACTTGAAATTCTGGAGAAACGTTCAGACTCTGTGCAAGCAGCATACAGCTTCATACAAACCCTTCCTGAGGATGATGTACGAGACAAGCTCTTCCCATTCTACAGTCACTCTACTCTTGAGCTACAGAGGGCGATGTCAGGAAACCAATCATTGAAGGAAATGCCTGGTAGATCAGACCAAGAAGAGCTGTACGCTAGGTTTGGTTTCCTTCATGCATCTTGCCAGAAAGGTGATGTCGATGCCGCTCTCATGTTAATGTGCTGGGGGATCGAGCCATGTTGTAAGAATACAGAGGTGAGACAATCTTCATTTTGAATACTAAACATAAGCACCTCCCCCCCCCCCCCTTCCCCAAAGCTCAAGTCTCCAGCCCCATAGTTCTGCCATTTCTCACAGCCTGATCTTTAAGATGGTGAATTGCTGTTTTGTCTCCACCTAGCCTGTCTCCTACCCACATAGTCTCATAATCATTTTGTCTACTTATCATTTGGTCTATTAATGAACATTTAGGCTAACAATCAGCTGGTCTAATTTACATTTGGTCCAATCTCCAATAAGTCTACCACCAATTTGGTCTATCATTTGGTCTAATGACCATTTGGTCTAATTCCCAGTTTGTCTAATGCCCATTTTGCTACCATTCATATGGTCTAATAATCATTGAATCATAAATAATAATAATCATCAAGTGATTATTAGACCTTATGAATGGTAGATGAAATGGGCATTAGACAAACTGGCAATTAGACCAAATGGGTAGTAGACTTATTGGATATTAGCCTAAATGGTTATTAGTGATATGGAAAAAAAAAGATTTTTGGACCGTGTGGATAGTAGACTGGCTTGGTATGGACCAACATGGGAATAACCCAATTAGGTAGTAGACGAATTCACATGTAAGGAAATCCTACTTCCTTTGGAATAACCACTTTCTGAAAATTGAATAAAATCACAAACTAGGGGTGAGGTGACACCAATTTTGATTGTTGAGGATTACGAAACAAGCATCTTGGAGGCAGACGAATTCTGAAGTTTTTACTTTTGGAAGTTGTTTTTGTGATTTTCTTTTCTGATGAAATAAGTAATAAGTAATTTTGTAGTATTAATGGCATGAGGAAGATCGCACTATTAACAATCCTATTGAATCGTCTTACTTCTGCTCAACACTGTTTAATGTATGCTACATACATTGTACATGCACATTGTACCTTTAGGAATTCTAGAAGAAGTATTTGATACTTTTTTGATCAAGTAAAGGAGATATTTGGAGCTGTTGATCAACATGTGAGAAACTGAGAGAGAACAAAGATTTCTCTATTAAATACATGCTTTAAATACAGATGTGTCTGTCAAGGCATTATTTCCGCTATACTTGTATAGATAAAGATACCGTGTATTGTTCAAGAAATATGGACCGTAACATTGGTATGTTTGCTTAATACAGGGTAGAAGTGCATTGGAAGTAGCTACCACTGAGGGTCATCTCAACATTATCACTAAACTAGTGGAAATGGATGAAGGTAAATATTTGTATTTCACTATTTACCTGTCTGTGATGCCATATTACTGCATAGTTCTTTACCGCATAGTTCTCTGTCTGTGTGACTGTTTATGTGTCTTACTCTCTCTTTCTCTCCCCAGTTGTTTTTTCTGTCTCTTCCTGTGTTTGATTCTCTGTGTTTCTCTTGGGATACTCTCTCTCTCTGTATAAAATCAGTATTCCTTTTCTCTTACTCTTTATGACTTTGTGTTTGTCTGCCCCTGTCTCTCTCTCTCTCTCTCTCTCCCCCCCCCCCCCCCCCCCCCTCCTCTTTCTCTGTCATATTAAGTGTTTCTCTGTCTGGCAGTCCCAAATTCAGTGCTCTCGCACCAAAATAGATGCATATATGTGCACCTTGGTAGGCAATAATAGCCTGCTTAACCTGTTGACAACTGAACTCTCTATTTCCCATAGGTATGATACAGGGACCACTTGGTTCCAGTAGCTAGGCAATGGGTTAATGTCACTTGCATATCAAGGTGGTAGGACTTATTGAATTGCCAGAGTCTACATGTCCAGAGTAGGCATTCTGTTGTGATAATTAATTCACCATATTAATATCTTAGTATTACTCTCAACTTAAAGTGAATGAGTTAATAATGCCCTTCTTGCTCTCAGCAGATGTTGTTTGAAAAGAAGTTTAGTTGTAAATAATACCATTCAGATTTCTGCTTGATTCCCCTTCACCTCCTCTTCCCTCTTATTTATCTATCCCTTTTCTTTCTTCCTTTGTTTTACTATCTCTTTGGTTCATGATTCATTCATCTGTTACCACTCTCCTCTCCATCTTCTTCTCCTCCTTTCATCTCAACCCTCCAGGACTGCTTGAGGATGTAGCCGAGTTGAAACTCCTTGTCTGTCATGCCTGTAAGGCAGGGAAGAAGGAAATGATAGACTACTGGTTGGATCAGCTGATAAGACACAGTCCAAACCCTGGGCATCTACTCTTCGAGCAACATGATCCCAATCCACTCCTGTTTGCATGTCAAGGTAAAAACATCATCTACATTGTATCTACATACACTACTGCCTAAAGGTTTTGGCAGCGGGCTGCGGGCGCGGGCAAGCTACTCGCGGGTCGCGTATTTTTTTTGAGTGTCAATTGCCAAAAATGTGAGCAAGTTCGGGCAGATTTCGGGCAGATTTCGGGCAGATTTCGGGCAGGTTTCGGGCAGCTGAATTGAACGCACGCGCGGAATTTGGGGGAGCGCCCGAACTTCGGGAAGTTCCCGAACTTCGAGCTGCTTTGTTTACTTTGTTGCTATGCGCCGTTGCTTTGCGCGCAATGTCTGTGAAAAAATGCGCATCTGCGTGGAATGCTAGTGCTACGCGGCTTTGTGATGTCATAATGGTTATCTCCAAACGTCACAATAGCCACTCTAACTCGATGTTTTTGTCAAGAAAACAACCATTAAACAGATTTAATTAACATGCGGTGAACGTCTGCCGAGTCGGCGTTCTCGAACTCATGTCATTTTGTCCAAGTTAAAATAAACACGATGGAAGGACATAGCTAAAAATTAAATCAATTTACAATTTAAGTATTTAGTGTTGAAGTATTATCACTTATTTTGGTACAGTTGTCGCCTAACTTTTTTGTCAACTGCGGACTACCGCAGATTTTTTTTCTTCTCCAGGCGGCTAATTACAAAATAGACGAAATTAACCGTCTGGTACGAGGATAAATGCTTTGATAAAACCAGGGAGGTGACCCACACGCATCCGGTAACCCTTGCTTCACACTCAAAGAGGGATTGACTGGCGATTTTTACCGGAATCTGGCGAACAGTTTACCTTTGCTTTTGTTCATCTGGAATCAACCGAAAATATCAAAACATCCAAATAATTATAAAGACTTACTTCAGGGTTCGTACACTTACACATTTTAAAAATTCCATGACTTTTCATGACTTTCCAGAGCAGGATAATGTAAATTTCCATGACCATTTTCAATGATGAACATGTCTTAATTTAAAGCGTACAACTATACATCATCGCAATACTAGAAAGTAAATCACAAAACTATAAGGCGCACCCCTATTTCGAAGATCCCCCCCCCCCCCAAAAAAAAAAAAAAAAATCAGAAAAAAAAAAAATCTGGAAAAAAAATTCTGTCATCTTTAGTTGAAAAAAAAACATTGTTAGTTGTTACTAGACCTAGGTCTAACTTAGTTCACAAGCACTTCAACTGTGCCTCGTATAATGAAAAGTGAAAGTATTTTTCGAACACTGAAATAAGACGCAATCTGATCTGGTTAACAAAAAGCCACCAAAAAAAAGCCAACATTGGTCTTTTTGTTAACATCAGATCGGCTCTTATTTCAGTGACAGTGTTAAAAAATACTTTCATTTTATTACGAGGCACGGTTGAAGTGCTTGTGAACTGAGTTAGACCCAGTAACAATGTTGTTTTTAAAACTAAAGATGACAGAATTTTCCTCCGAGTCCAAACAGAAATGTGGACAGGCTAGTTTTCGTGTGGTGATTCGTTATCCCTTGTGTGAGCTGCATCATACAGGTGAGTGAGCTGAAGACACGGTAGAGCTTCGGCCGGCAAAGTGCCTTGTGACAGGGCATAATTTATCGAGACTGAAAACAAAAACTGAAAAAACCCTCTCTTCCTTTCAAATTAGGAACGTAGTTTAACTTCAAATAGTAGATCCTACTCTTTATTTGCATTATGTAATTCATGTTGAGACACAGAGATTTTTGAAAACCACTAAAAAGTAGCATTTGAGGACTCAAATATCCTGTTCCTGACTATTTAAGGCGCACTCCCGACTTTCGATATTTTGCTGACGGAAAAAAGGTGTGCCTTAATTGCGGACGTTAGGGAAAGCAGCAACCACGAGGCTAGGCTAGTTAACTACTGGCTGTATGCTCGTGCTCGCATAATGGACGCCAAATGTGGAATCAAATGCGATTCAGGGTTGCGATATTCGAGTAAAGAGCAACACAATTTTTACAGGGGTTCTTAAGAAAACACGAGTGGCTCATGATGCATAGTTATTTACATTTAAATTATTGTTTTATGAATATTCTGTGGCCGCTCGCGTGGCCCCTGTCAAATTCCACCAGCCTTCAGCATGGACCTACTACGAACCATCATGATGACAGAGAAAGTGCATGTTACGCAATGTTTACGCCTTTTCTATTCTTTCTACAAACCACAGCGGCATGCATGTCTGAAGTGAGAGGGCAACTTCACGAAACAAAGCTTTAGTAAACAAATCAAATTTCTAAAGGGAACCGCTTTGTGTGGAAAAGGAAAGTTATTGCCCAGTCACTGAAGAGATGTTGAGTTGTTCTGATGATACCGATTTATCGATTGTGACCGTAGTGATAATGATGGTGATGATATTGATGGACGATGATGAAAATGCTGGCTGTATGTATTGATGGCGATTATTAAAATGATGATGTAGAGAGATTCCAGCCCCCCCCCCCTCCCCCCCCCCCCCCCCACTTCACAAAAATACACACACAAGATAGCATGGCGATAAACAATGAAAATACGTCATTGATGGAAATAAAAATTCGAAAAACGAGTAAGACATAAGGAAATAACAAAGAAATACTTGAGGATTGAGGAAAAAATAGAAAATGATTGAAAAAAATCTAAGAAATACATAAAGTGAACACATTTACGAAGGAAACCAGAAGAATGATTAATAATTGCTTCATAAAGATCTACATACGTATGGAAAGAAAAAAGGATAATCGAAAATACATGATTGATAGAAAGAAAAACATGGAATTAAACAAGGGGGTGATTGTGGAATGGGGTAATTTCCAGGGAAATGTAAATGTCCACGGGGGGGGGGGGGGGGGGGGAGTAATTGGCCGGGGTGATTGCCCAAGGGTAATTCTCCTAGAACTAGAACCATAATGAACAAGAGAAGGGAATATACAAGCATAGAGAGAGAGAGGGAGAGAGGGTGGAACAAAGAATTGCAAAAACAGAAAAGATGAGAAAGATGAGAACAAATGCATACGCTAGTTTTCAGGGCAGAACTGCTCTCTCTCTCTCTCTCTCTCTCTCTCGGAGGTTCAATCATCACTACTAAGATCACGTGATCTTACCGCGCAAACATGATCTGTTTATAAATAACTTCTGAGATAAACGCATGTTGCCAGACACCTTGTCTCCAAAGTACCCTTTGTTTAGAAACACTTTTAACATAATACGAAATATACGCTACGCTAGCTCTCCTCATTCAAACATTCAATTCATTGGTGAACAAATTAAATTTGGAATTGATTAATAAGTTCTCTGCTTGTTTCGTGTGTCTATGTTTGTTCTTATTTTTAGTTAGATTGTCTTCTTCTTTTTCTTCTCCTTCCTTTTCTTCTTCCCCTTCTTCTTATACCTCTCCCCCTTCTTCATATTCCTCTCCTTCCTTTTTTTCTTCCCCCACCCCTCTGCTTCTTCATATCCACTTCTTCTTTTTCTTCCACCCCCCGGTCCCGCCCCTCTGCTTCTTCACCTACTCTTCTCCCCCCCCCCCCCCCCTGCTTGTTTATCTCCCCTTCTTCTTTTTCCTCTCCCTCCTTTGTTTTCTTCCCCAATCCCCTCTGCTTCTTCATGTACTCTTAGTTCTTTTTCTTTACCCTCACCCCTTTGCTTCTTCATCTATTCTTCTCCCCCCCCCCCTCTGCTTCTTTATATCCCCTTCCTTTTTTTTCTTCCCCAATCCGCTCTGCTTCTTCATTTTCTTCTCCCCGCCCCCTCTGCTTTTCATCTACTCTTCATCTTTTTCTTCTCCTTCGTTTTCTCCCCTTGCTTCTTCATCTCCCCTTCTTCTTTTTCTTCTCCTTCCTTTTCTTCTCCCCCTTTTTCTTTTTCTTCTCCTTCCTTTTCTCCTCCCCCTTCTTCTTTTCCCTCTCCTTCCTTTGTTTTCTTCCTCAATCCCCTCTGCTTCTTCATCTACAGGTGTACTCTTCCATCTTTTTCTTCACCCCCACTCCTTTGCTTCTTTATCAACTCTTCTCCCCCCCCCCCCCCTTCTGCTTCTTTATATCCCCTGTTTTTTCCTCTCCTTGGGCCTTTTTTCCTTCCCCAATCCCCTCTGCTTCTTCATCTACTCTTCTTCATTTTCTTCTCCCCCGCCCCCTCTGCTTTTCATCTACTCTTCTTCTTTTCTTCTCCTTCCTTTTCTTCCCCCCTCCCCTCCTTCTACATATTTCCTTTCTTCTTTTTCCTCGCCTTCCTTTTTTTTTTTTAAGGTCACGAACGTGATGCAAGCAGCGCGAGCATAGGTCCTAAGTTGACCTAGATATCTACGTAAGCTTCGCGTACCACGTGCGTCCAAAATCTAGATCCAGCATGCATAGTGTTATTAGCATAGGCTATGCCTACAGGCTACACAATGTAGCACTATTAGTATTAATTATGACTTAGCTGTTGCAAAGAAAGTATCTCTTAATCCTTGGAATTAAAATATGGAAACAGGGACTGATGTGTCATTGGCATAATGTAAGGTGAGACCAAATTGTTCATATCATTAGTCTGATGAATGCTCAATTGAACCATTTTATTAAGTTTAGGCTAGAGCCTAGGCTAGGCATGACGATGTGGTACGGTAGATCTATGCTAGCGTTTGCCGTCCCCGTTGCCGTCCGGCTAGCGACTGCTAACTTCATGGACCCTGGGCCTAGCTCCTCGAAGATGTTTGGCAGAAAAATATCTAAAGCCTACGGTGGTCATCCACTCTTAGATCTAAATCAGGGGGTCTAGACTAGACTTTAGGCTGCCTTACTCATATTGCTGTGAGAGTTGGTGAACACCAAAACAAATTAGTGAGCGTCTTTCCTAACAAACACTCGACTCTCCCATACACTCTACGTGTATTTGTGTATAATTTTCGTGCGGTGCGATTCATATTTTAACACGCAAATTGTATAGGCAAATTGATCTGCAGTTGAATCGCTCTTCTCGACCAATTTGACTTTTCAACGTGACGTCATCGGGTCTTGTCGCGTGCGAGTCT